TGACACTTCAGGACACGGTTTCATGGTCATGGTAGCATAGGGTTGACAGTTGGACTTGATGATCTTAGAGGTCTTTTTCCTGACGACAGGTATGTTTTGTCTACAAATTGCACAGGACGTCTTCCAGGCTGTAAAAGTGCATTTTCTTCTGGTTGAATTGATACTTGGCCGGGAGACAACCTGAAAAGTAAAATCTAGGCAAAGAAGGCATTATCATAGGACAGGACAGAACAGTTATAAGACACCTGCTTCTAACTCTTTTTTTTCCCCTTCCAAAAACAGTTTTGCTCAAAGCAAATATTACATCATAGGTCTTCTTCTCTGCAAATGTGTACTTGTATACTTTCTCTTCAAGAACACTCAGGCACAACAGGACAAAAGTCTCAGATTTCAGATCTATCAGCATTTGGCACAAGCTCTTTCCAGTGCTGCATGTCAACCGCCACTACCCAAGCTCACAACTTACCCGCCACAGACCTTACCCACGTTTCAAGAAACTACCCTCATCCAAGCACAGCCTCACTAAATCTCAGCACTGAGGAGTAAGTTAGGCCAAACAAGATAGTATGACCTCAAAGCCTTCCACTGAGGCAGTGGGAGTTGAACTCATCTCTAGTTAGTCCTTTCAGGATAATTAAAGTCAAGTATAGACACATGCTGACGTAGCAGTTCTGGCCATACTCAAGATGCAGTTAGAATAAGCACCATAGTAACGAACAAGGCAAAATACTGAATTTTACACTGCAGTAGTCATAGCACGCCTTTTTAATTTCATTGTTTACTTTTTGCCTTACATAAAGGCTAGCTTTTCCCTAGAGAGGTGTTATGAAATTCAAGCTGCCTGACTAGCTACTAGATGTATTTCAAAAGTGAATTAGTTTAATTCCAGAATCTGATCCTCCACTACATCTCTATCTGCTAGAAGCAGATCTGTAGGGAGAAACAACAAACTATGCATATTCCTGAATTTTTACTGGTACTTTATGTTTGGACTAGATCTGACCCCTAGAACTGAGTGCCTGTTTGTGGCTCCTGTGGCTTCATCTAAAAGGAACATGGCTTCTGTGTTTTCAAACCACCTCATAATGCAGTCCAAAACACAGTGCATAGAGAGACTGAGATTTGCTTCAAAGGGACCCTCCTGATCTTCCTGAAGACTGAGGTAAACGCACCCTATAATTCCTCCTTAGTAGATCCTCTTTTTGCTTGCAATATGGGTGGTCAATGATCAAAGTATCAATAAAGTTCCTCTTAAATTCAACAGTGTCCTCAACTCTTTTTTTCCTGTCTGCACCTAGTACGAAAGGCACCAGCACCAAGAGCGTCCCCAAATCACAAGGGAGAAGCAGCACATTGTGCCTGTGCAGGAGCTCTCAGTGAAGACTCCCACTAAACTTTAGTCACCACCAACTCCTTAACCCCCTCATCACAAGCTTGTTTCCTAGTGACCATATCAATTTTGTGGTGTGACTCGAGTTCTCTCTGGTATTTACACCCCTCCATAAAGTGCTGATCACAAACTGGGCACTACGCTCCAATGTTCTCTCTCAAATGCCTATCCCAGAGAAAGGTTAACTTCCTCTCTACTCAAAATTTCTCCTGTGAAAATTCTTACTTAGAGTGATTTGGAAGTCTTCTAACAATTGCTACCCTCTAAGGCAGCCTTCCTTTATGCTGACACAGCTGGCAAGTCTTTGTTCCCAGATCACTTTACATTAAATGATATTAAGACCATTTTGTAAGTTATGACTTTGAACCAGATGATTTATAGCTCTTTAAAATTAAACTGCCTTCCTTTCTTTACACACAGTGAATCTTACTACCTTACCTGAAAAAATTAGCAGGAAAATCTATATGTAGTAACTGAGATATTTTATAAAAATATTATTTAACATCAGATAAAAACTGGTCACCTGAAAATTCTCCAGTTAAGCACTTGGCTACTGCATATTTTACAGGTAGCTATATTTTGAACTCCTCCTATAAAACAGTTTTTAACCTATTAAATATGTGGCAGGCTACTCATTTCCTTTATATCGTATTAAAACAAGATACTTGAAGAAATCAAAGAATATCTCTGTCATGGGTTTGAGTCTGACAGTGTTTTAACCAGGACAATCTCTATCAACAAGACTTGTAATAATACTTTTAAAAAGCATAAGACAAATTCATAGCAGTTAGCAATATTTTCAGCATGTCCCAAAGACAGTCCAATTAACCCTTTTAACTCTTTACAATCCTTCCAGTCATTCTGAATTTTTGAACCATTACTGAAGTCAACTGTTTTGAAAGCTCCTCTGCTCAGTTACAGCTCAAGACAATCTAAGACTGGTATTAAAGAGGATTTTCTGGGTGCAAACACATATTCAGCAAAGGTAACATCTTCTCATGAACTATCTTTTTCAACTTCAGAAACAGGTCGAATAGTGCAAGAGTCACCACTTTTGTCTCCGCCAAATCTCCCTTTCTTTTTTATCCATGCCTAGCAAAGAAGAAGTCAGTAGTTTTAAGGCATCTTTTTTCCTCCGTGAGTTACATCCACAGCCTGTATCAGCAGGCCTCAAAATACTCTGCTTTAGAATATCAAGACAGATTAGCAAGTAATGGGACAGTGTAATATGATTACTAAATCATATTAAATCATATTACTAATCTGATTACTAAATCAGAAAAGGAATCACTCTTCAGGAAAAACTCCAGCCTCCTTTACGCTGCCTGAATATTTTAAGGAGCTTTCAAGTACATACTAAATTTTCTTCCTGAATGTACTTCCAAAAAAAAATCTCAGAAATATTTAACATTATTAAATATTTTAGCCTTCTTAAAACTACTTTCATTTTTAACTGAAAGTACATTTAAACAAGTACATTTTCGTTAAAGTAATTATTATTAAATCATTTGCTTTCCATGCCTAAAACTTTTTATTGTTAGGGCTTTACTCTGTATTTGTATGACTAGCAGCTAACTACAAATATCTACAAGATCTTTCCTCCACAAAACGCATCTAATATCAAGACGATTCTACTTTTTACTCGAAACAATTATTCTATACCAAAGAATAGTGTTCTCAGAATACTTGTTATAAACGTACAATTTGCTTCAGAAATGCTCCTTCCAGAGCATCCACAAGATGTCACTATTGCAAAAGAAAGAAACCTCATGCGTCGTAAAATAGGAAATATGGTTTTTGTGCTCTTGAACCATGGATTTTATTTACTGCACATCTCAATCAATGCAGTCAAATGATTTTTTTTAATGTAAGGATTAAACAAAATGTGGGGAAAAAAAGAAAACAAAACATGAACTCAAGACCCTGCTTCAGCTACTTGGTTTGAATTACTAAAAACAAGAAAAACTTGGCAGACAGCAATAGTAAGAGAAGTAGAAACATTTACGATTCTAGCATTTGTACATGACCTACGTAGAAGATAATTGTCCATTTAGAAACAATAGAGTATACATATGCAAATAAAAAAATAATTAGAACAGAGAAGCAAGTAGGTTTCTGGTTAGTTTAAGGAAAGTTTGGCATTGTTTTGTATTTAATAAGAAACAACAACTATGTATTGAAGCCAGCTCATCTGTCACAGAATTTTTAAAAAATTAATTAATTGAAATCTACGTAGGTTTGATGAAAATCCAAGGAACAACAATGCAAATTATCTCTGTATAATCCTGCTCGCTAGGAAAGAACAGGAAGCTAGCATGCCCAGGAACTGTAGATGAAAATTAAGTGTTGACATTGACTTTTCTTGCTCATTATAGCACTGTAAATGAAAGTACAGCCAAAAAATGTTTCCAAAGATTTGTGACGTTGCCCCATTTTCTACACTGCAATCTGAAACTGCAAGGAATCAACACACAAGTAAAAGGGTGACATTTTTGCTGCAAATTCTATTCACAACTTCCTCAGAGAGATTTTAAGCTTTCAGGATTTTTTTTTTTTTTGCACACTACAATCACGGAAGGTTCTAACAGACTCAGAAATAAGTCTGTACTGTTTCCATTCAATGACCATATTGCTATCCCACATCCTTTCTGAGAGTGCACTGACTGCCTTTTAATGAACAACTTCATTAATTATTAAGAAGAAAAACGTATTAAATCTCATGTTGTCTTCTGGACTAATAGGTGTGACAGCTGAGAGGAGTAAAAAAGTCATTTCCTTTGGCATGCAAAAAGAAAGAGCAATAAAACAAAAGCAAAGGCAGGAAGTAATGGGAAGAGGGCTGATCAGCTAAGTAATCTGAAGATATTTTAATATTTCTTTTAAGAGAAGAATGCAATTTCAATGCATAGCAAACTAACCCATTTGAGACTTCTAATAGAAATGGTAAAAGATGAAAAAAAAATCAGACATCTAGCATAATTATAGTACGTGAATTAAACATCTAGGATCTTAAATAATTGATCTTTAATGAGAAAATTATTTACAGTACTGGGAGTAAATACTACAGTTCATGCTTACAGCATCTCCATAGACATTGCCGTACCATCATAACAAATCAGTTACCTTTCTTTTTCAGTAGAGACTGTACAAACAATACACAATTAAAAGCCAGACAGCGAATACTTACTTCAGGAAGCACTAAAAGTGACGATGTGACATTAAGAAATTGGGAGGGGGGGAATCTAATCTGAGACACAAAAAAAATTAATAGAACAGCAAATTAGGCTACAGAGCAAATTAGTTTTCAGAAGTGCTCACGACTCTTGAGTAGTTACTATCATCATTTTTTAAATTAATGATCCAAAAAGAAGAATGTCTACCACAAGAAAGTTTAGGTCATATTTCTGCATTATCTTCATGCAGAAATTATCAAAGCTGCGAGTTTTATGGTATTAAAGTACACACATCTAGGTCAACACTGAAATACACTTCAGAAACTATTTTCTCATTTATGTTTATACTTTAAAGATGCTGATATCCAAATCAGATAGTATCCATTACAGCAGTTCTTTTTTAAAGATTAACGTGATTCCAGATAATAAAACCTTACCTTGCCAGCTGTCATTGCAAACGCACAGCTTCTCGCCTGTCAAATCACAGTACCCGTGATCTGGGCTGCCACAGTTGGCTTTACAATATGGAATATCACAAGCTTCTCCTTTCCAATACTTGTCACACTCACAGTACACCCGGCTTGGTACGGACACACTCGTTGTACACTTCCCATGTTCTGAGCAGTTATTAGGACAAGAATTAATTCTGGGGGAAAGAAAAAAAAAAAAACAACATGCAGAATAAGGGAAATATCAAGTTAAGAGTTGATGATCATGGGTTTCTGACAGTATTCCAAGAGTATTTTAGATCAAGTACCTCTTTTTCCTGAAAAATTTCTGTGTACTGATAAAACACAAGTTGAATGATGATTTTACAAGTAAGCTGAAAGGTGATCATCCAGGCTTACATACAAAATCAGTAATGCAGTCAGGATCACAAACATCATGTACTTTAACAAGAAGTATTGACATTAAGCAGAAGGACAGATCACCACCTATTTTCTTCCTGTGTTCCAGTATCAGCACTCTAGCCAGTCCCTTCAAATGCTTATTATCTCAAGGAAAATATCTAGGATGAGAATAATGAGGGGACACAGTGAGGACAGCTGCCCCAAACTGGCCAAAGTGACATTCCAGCCCATATGATGTCATGGTGAACAATAAAACCCAGGGCATTTGGCCAGGGGTCGGCCACCCTTTGGGAACGGGCCGGGAATCGCTCAGCAGGTTGTGAGCAACAGCACTGTGCATCACTCATTTTGTATATCCCAGTTCTTTTATCATTATTATTATTTTCACTTCCTTGTCCATCCTACTAAACTGTTTTTATCTCAATCCACAAATTTTACTTCTTTTTTTTCCCCCCCTTCGATCCTCCCATCCCACTGGGCAGGGGGTGGCGAAGTGAGCAAATGGCTGTGTGGTGTTTAGCTGCCTGTCAAGTTAAACCCCAGCACCCTTAAATTCTCCACCACAGGCATACAGCTAAAGGGGATTTCGGAGTGTCTTTAGTCCATGCTGTAAAACATTATGTCTAACATCTGAGGGGAATAAAACTGGAAGAAACAATTCAGGAAAAATATAAGGTGACTAATATCCTGAAACGATTTACAGGTAGCACTTCATGTTTTAAATCCTTAACAACAGAGCTATCTTAAACTTGCCTCCTTAACACCACAGCCAGAGATGCAAAAAGAGGAAAGATTAGACTGAAAGAACACTGTGACTGTTATGGAAGTTAGTATTTCTTTGATACGCCCTACCAAACCCTGAGATCATGGGCAATGAGACTGCAGAATTATGCAAACTGGTTCCAGAAATGTAGGCAACCCCTTGGAGACAAGGAGGGATTGGAGGAAGTATGCGGGTCCGAGAGTTTCCATGAACAGAATCCGAGGCAGTGTGCACCTGATGAAGTCCAAAAGGATTTGAAACCTTTTCTGATGACTCACAGTCAATGCTTCAATTGAAACTCAGGATAAACTGATGATAATGCAGGCTACTCCCTGTAGTTGTGAGAGCTGGATACCATTCACAGTCTTCCTTGCTCTTACTGAAGGAAGAAAGAACTGAAAAACCTAGTGAGCAATTGTTCCAGGCTGGCCTTTGGCCAAATGTAGTAATGGCAGAACAGTGAGGAGCTGTGTTTTCATTTTCTAAAGACCTCAGAGGACTGATTCTGTTACACTACTAAAAAAAGAAAATTGCGTGTCTGAACTGCAGACATCCTGGGGGTTTTGCCTAGTAACACACATGGCATTAAAACCATTGATAGCCTTAACTGGTGCATACCAGAGCTGCGAGGAGCCACTCCCTTCACAGGGCGAGTGTTTTGCAGGAAGGTGAACAGTTAAGTCTTTCCAGCAATAGAGATACCTGTTCAAAAGCAGATATATTCCCACTCCAACAGGTTTGTTAAGGATTCCAACAGAACAGGAAAACTGGATCACCAGAGTTGGAAGCAGGTTGCCTGACTCCAATGAACACAATGAACACTCAGAGTTCTGGAGTAACTATTTTTTTTTGCAAATGGCACAGCAGTTCAGCCACAGATGCTGTCTTCCCCAAAATAAAGGTATATGAGGAGTCTAACAAGATGAAGTCAGAGATGAAGTCAAAAACTCTTTTGGGGTTACCAAACTGAGGAGGCAAGAGAGTAACAGAAGCAGAGTGCAACAGATCAGTGACAGAAAAAACGAAGTTACTGCAGCCATTAAAAAAAAAAGTCACTGGGACTTCTTTAGTCATAAAAAGAGTTACTGTTGGCTCATTTAAAAAAATAAATACATTTAAAAGTATCCATTGCAACAGAAGAACAGAGCACATAAAATTTTGTGGAGTTGTATATGTAATGGAATTAAAAACTGCCAATTTCTTTTTAATTATTCTAAATCTTCCAAAAAACTAGGTAATGTTATGTAGCACGCACCACATTACCAAGGCATAAAAGAATGCAGAGCACATACACTCATTTCTTAAGAATGCCATGTCACATTGCCATTTGCTTCCAAGACACGCAAAAAAGTGCAGTAAAAGCTTCAGGGGTAACTGGAAAATGTAACTAATTCCAACAGAGAACTCTGCCAAGTGATTGTATTTTACTGATGTCAGCTGACAAAAATTAAGAATACCCAGTCTTCTACAATGCAATTTCCAATACAACTTACTTAGTGAGTTTTCTCAAACTCTGAATAGCTATTTATTACCTGGTAAAACGTAAGTAAACTGCTACAAATTACAGAAACAATCTTTCCATCAACAATTTAACAAAGAATTCTGCCAAGAGTAAAGCTATGGTCAGAAGCACAAACAGGAATTTTAAATAAATAGAGAATATAAAAAAAGATATCACATGTACTTCCACATCTGAAGTGCAGTGTTGACCACCACATCCAAAAAACAAGTATTGCAGAATCTGAAGGGATTGAAAGAAAGGAACAAGAATATCTTCAGTCATGGGAAGACTATCACATGAAGAAATAGGTCCAACAGGCCCAAGAAATCTCCTGCGGAACCAAAGCATCCAGTATAAAAAGACATCGCATTATGTGGCACACACATGTCCCAAATAAGACAGAATTTGCAAAGCAAATAAGAAGGAAAAGGCTCAGGTCCGTTAGATGCATCTTTATAACGGCTGACACAGAAAAGCGGACTGAAGCAAAGCAAGAATTGTTATATCAGATTAGACTTTGTCATCAGAGAAACTAAAAGACAAACAGTGTAGATATGACCTGTGAAGGTGGAGCACAGACCAAGATGGACTATAGGTGGGGAAAGCACCTGAGAAGCAGAGAAGAAATGGAATAAAACAATTGTGGCCTGCACAAAAATAAAAGTGGGACTTCAGCGTGGGTTTCGAAAGCTGTAGAAGTACAAATATGAATGAAAAACCAAGCAACAGATGATCCCAGTTCAAGAGAAGGGAACTGACATTACAGAAGATATAATCTACCTCCTATCCCCTATGACAGCCACATGTGTTGGTTAAATACTGGAAGGGATACATTCTAGTTCCACATGGCATAGGAAAAACATACTCTTAGAATGATGATGTGGCTTCTCACAGAACAATATATTTTATCTCATGTTATTTTTGTTGTGTGGGGGTTTGGGGTTTTTGTTTTGTTGGGTTTGGGGGTTTTTTTTGTTTTGGAAAAAAAACCCACCACCTTAACCTTAATGACAACTCATTTCAACCTCTCAGTGCCCTGGAAACATGCAAGATGGAAACATGCAGAACACTTACACTACTAATAAAAACAACAAATAACACTCTCCCTGGGTTTTTCAGTCTCCTGAAGCAAATGATAGGCTAATTAACAAATTACTTATTAAAAAATACTTACGAGTAAAAAATATTAAATCCAGTTAGGTTATAAGCAGCATCGCTAAAGAAGTGTAGCAATGCATAGCCAGATGTAGTAACTACCTCAGGAACAGTTTCATTTCCACGCACTTCAGGAACTATTAAACCACTGGAAAACAAAACAAGAATGTTTTTAATCAGTCTTTTGGAGATGGGGGGGAAAAAAAAAAAAGAGGGATTTAGCTATTGTGATTGTTAATTACATAGACCAGAAAACCCATAAATCTAATTTTAAAACTTCTTAAAAATAGACAATAAAATGCATATAAAACTTGTCCATGACACTGAAAGTTAAGGCGGGGTTTTCCCAGAAAAGTAAAAAATCTTCTCCTTCACGCAGTAACGCAAAATTTCACATCAGATTATTCTGAGGGTGCACGCACTGTCGGTCTAAATTTTAAAACTTATTTTAATTCGTGCTTGCCTTTCAGCACGAATTGCATTTCCACATATTTGCACCTTAAGAAGTTTACCTTGAAAAATTCCAAACCTAGGAAGTATAATTAAGTAATTTCCATGAAAAAGCAGTTTTCAGCCAAAGACAGAATACTTTTTAGAACTTCAGAAAGATGTTAAGATGTCAGTCTTAAAATAAAGACTGAAGCAGGAAAACCAACCAATATATAAAAATATAGAGAAAAAGGATCACCTGCATAAAGCAATGCCACATCAAAAGTATAAATTCGAAGGACTTGGGAGTCATGATTAGAAGCCTACTGGAAAATACATTTCTGATTGTCTGTCTATAAGCATTAACCACTCTATGTAACATCAGCCATAAGTACGAGCCACATAAGGATTGATGCTGTGATCATGTAATGCCGAAAAGTAGCAGTCTGCAATTTAGTCTACTATAACCTTACAATATCCTGTGATATTAACAAAAGAAAGGAAGCCATTTAACAAATTAAAGCCTTCACTGTTATTTTTTCCCCAAAAACTAAAAATTCCCATACATGACTACTTGGATTAAAAGGCTAATACAGATACTCACCTAAACACAGCTATTAAAGGTGCATATATTGAATCTCCATCATATACATACATATGGTCCCAACTACATTCTGTGGCAAAGTGATTAAATCTTAATCTTAGTATTGCATTTGGGCTGGAAACGAAAAATAAAAAGAACATTGATATAAAACATTGTTTACAAAAATATTAAAATACTTATCTTAAGACGAGTAGCCTAGAGCAAAATTGATCATACTTGGATAACTGTAATAAAACATCTGAGTACTAACTAAACGTTTCAGACTTAAGTAACAAAATTCAGGGCAAACAAATAAAATACTTGATCCTAAAAAACTTTAAAAATAATATCTTCTGCCCAAGTCTAATAATCCCTAAAGTTAATAAGAGACTTAAGTTCACCAGGTGTTATCATTATTCATAACCACAAGCTCAGAGCAAAGAAAATATCCCATTTTAATACACTAGCTTTCCTTTACAATGTGAGGACTCACAAGAAAAAAAAAAAAAAATCTACGCATTCTCCTTCCTGTATTATACTAGTTATTGAAAATAAAATTCATAAAACACAAATTTAAAATAGCAAGCAATCTTAGTGCAAGATTATTTTTTTTTGTTTCCCTTCATTCCCCCCCCCAACTTGACACCTGGGAGTGAGATTTCACCAGTTTTTGGTAGAGATCCAGATGGGGACTGTAAGATTTCTGGAAGTGGAATTTTCTCATGTGACAAAATTAGCAGCCTCCTAAATATATTCCATGCAACAATCTGCATATTTTCTTACATTTATTTTCCCCACTCCGCCCCCCCTAACTGACAGACTCGGGTGCAGTTTGTCAGTTTGAAAAACATATGTTGGGGGGGGCGGGGTGAGAGAGAGATCATTTGGAGAGAGCTCTGTGTTCATTTTTTGAGAGAGTGTTTCATACATATGTAACTTCCCTGCGTGTTGACATTTTGCACTGTGTTGCTGGGCTGTGTTACTCTTCCCCATGCTGTGCAGCATATTGTTTCCTCCAGCTACTCGCTCTGCCATCTCCAGCAAGGAGGAGGGAGAACAGAGCGGAGACCAACTTCAAAGCGGAGTTTGTACACAGTCCTGAGGCACGTTTCCACTTCAGCACAGAGCAGTGCAGCGCAAATATTCCTCAGCTAGCTTGGGTAAAAAGGGAACTCTAAGCTGTGTCAGGAAGATACTCAGCTACAGCCCAGTTACCTAGATAGGGAAGCTTCTGTTGAAGCCCAAGTTCACTGCTGTTGTGCTTAAATCACTATGGATTATTATTTTATTATGGATTTAAGTTAAAGGAGAAGAGATTTAGATTAGATCTTGGGAAAAAAATTCTTCAGTACAAGGGTGGCAAGACTCTGGAACAAATTGTCCAGAGAATTGTGGATGCTCCCTCCCTTGAGGTGCTCAAGGCCAGGTTGGATGAGGCCCTGAGCAACCTGATCTAGTTGAGAGGCGTCGCTGCTCACGGCACGGGGGTTGGATTAGATGATCTCTAAGGCCCCTTCCAACTTAGGCCATTCGATGATTCTATGATTATCTGCACATAAGCAGACCAAAATTGGATAGGTCATGATCGTGTTTAGCCTTGAAAGAAGACAGCTGAGAGGGGATCTTATTAACATATAGAAATATCTGAGGGGTGGGTGTCAAGGGGAAGGAGAAAAATCTCTTCTCAGTGGTGCCCAGTAATAGGACAAAGAATAATGGGTTTAAGTTAGAACATGGGAAGTTCCAACTCATCAGGAGGAGAAATTTCTTTCCTGTGAGGGTGATGGAGCCCTGGCACAGGCTGCCCAGAGAGGGTGTGGAGTCTCCTTCTCTGGAGACATTCGAAACCCACCTGGACACATTCCTGTGTGGCTGCCCTAGGGGATCCTGCTCTGGCAGGGGGGGTGGGATAGAGGATCTTTTGAAGTCCCTTCCAACCCCTGACATTTTATGATTCTATGAAGACAACAACAGAGGGGAGATTTAAGGTAATTGACATTATGACAATATGGAAATAGAGAAGGGGGTAATTTTCTTCTAAAACATTAGTACAACTCAGATCTATTTAAATTCTTCAGCAAAATCCTCATCCATAGCCTGGGGTAAAAAAGTCCCACTAAAATTTAACAAATTTGTGCCTTTAGCAGTTAGCCGTACTAGTGCATATGTCTCATTTTTGTGTGCACGTCTGTTTCTGTGCTGCATAAACTGAAAAATTAGAAACAGACAACAAGTGTAAACTGTGGGCACAATACGATTTTAAAAATAAGTACATGAGGAAAACTAGAATGCAAAACAAAACACTTTATAGATTCACTAACTTTTGAGCAACAAGCGACTGAATAACTATCATTAGAGTAGAAGTATTTGTACTGGAAGCTATTCCTGATTTATCACTGGAGAGTAAGATAATGAGTTAAATAATGGGATTTTGTAATCACATTTGGAACTCACATAAAGGTACTCAAACAGGCAATAAATTTATCATAGGGTTTTGAAAGCTTGCAGCACTGGCCAAATTCCAATGTCATCCTAACTTTTGCCAGCAATTTGAATAGGAATGGAATTTGGCCCACTCTAAGCGACCCTGAATCCTCCTTAACTTTTTTAAAAATAAAATCTTTATAACATTTAAACAAAACAAACATCAAAACCCAAAATTGTTTCTGTTGTATTCAGATGCAGTTTCTACTTGAAAAGTTCTTTAGATCCCTGGAATACACAGTACCAAAGTGTCAAAACACTTAAGCTATGAAAATAAATACTTACTATCCTTCAATTAACCATGTACATTTAGTTTTATATTTATAATTTATTGGTCCATCTGTTAAATATCCAGAAGGCTCTGTTAACCTACAAGAGAAAAAAAAAAGTGCTGTAATAAACCAGAGACAACACAACAGGACACACAGCATCAATATGCCAATAGATTCTTCATGGATGGAAAGAAAACTGGGGCTGGAGGAAAGTTAGGTCTCTCCATATTTCTTGTCACACTATTTTTGCTCATAAAAACTAGAATTCTGATTTTTCTGTATCATTGATTTGCTTTGTTACCCTAAAGAATCACAAAATTTCTAATTTTTCTAGTTCAGTGGCAAGCAAATACTATTTGCAATTTAAGCTATCCTTCACAGAAAATGGATCCAAGCCAATGGAACAGGTTTTTTGTTTAAGAGTATTTTGGTTTGCTTTGCTCATTTCTTTTGCCTTACATCTTACTTCTGAAATTAGAGCACAGCAGCAGTGGGAAGGCTGTTCTAGATCAAGAGAAATTAAGACATAAATTACAGATTCAAATAGGCACATCTGTCATCCTGTCCCTCTCACTTCTGGTCAGTGAGACACGGGAAAGCAGAACAACACTGAACTACACAGAACCAAAATAAAATGCAAACAAAGAGCCAGAAAAGGTCAGGACAAGATGCCAACACAGTCCAGCACCCTGTCTCTGACACGGCCCACAGTAGATACCCAGGAAAGAAGTTAAACCCTTACAGATCCTCCCCATGACCCCATTTCCTTGGGGTAAATGTTTCTCCTAGGAGTTTGCCCATGTAAACTCCTGTAATCTCGCAGCATCTAGAACATCCTGTAGGAATGATTTCCACACTTACATGATGCAATGTCTCTACTGATTTTGTCCTGAGCCCACCTCTTGGCAATTTCACCTGACATCCTTAGTTCTGGTACTGGAGGAGATGATGCAGGACATCACCCTGTTCACACGGAACTGTGTTTCCCTCCCTTCTCTTTGCTCTCTCTTTTCCAACCTGAGAAATCCTTGCTCATCTAGTTGTTACTCATATGGAATAACCATGTTTGATCATCCCCACTGCTGGTATTTAATGTATATTTCTATGCTTCTGTACACTTTCCGAGATGCAACAGAGAGATTAGCAGAACATATTCAAGACACAAGTGAACCATCAATCTATACAGTAGCACAATAATAATTTGCATATTATTCTCTATTGCCACCCTAACGTTATATTTGTTCTTTCAGCAACTACTACGCTGACATTTTAAACACAACTAGCTGCTATAATTTTTCTGAGTGATAAGAGATAGTTCAAGATTCATTATATACAGAAATTCATTTAATGTAGAAACAGAATCTTTTTTTTCCCATTCACATATATTACTTCACATTAATCTACACAGAGTGATACAATAGCTGATGAAATTCAATAAACTATTACCATAAAAGCTTTCTGAAAGAGCTCAGTATTTCCAGCACACTGTAACTTCACTATTTACCACATTTTCTACATCCTTTATGATTATGTTCAGGCCTTAACACCCATCTCTGGTAGCCTTACTCCACTGGGAAAAGTGACCACCCTACTCTTTAAAATATTACAACAACAACAACAAATATAAATATATATGCAAAAATGCTCATTTCTTTCACTGTTAGTGCCTGGCCACAGTAAATTTTTGCTTGAAGAAAGCGAAGGACACATGCAGTTTACAGTATTTCTTTTTGTTGAGAAATATGAACTTTACATAAAAGTATAATTTCATGTCTATATACATGAGAAATAGATCTTTGCGGGCTATTTCTGGCTTCCTTACATATTAATTACATTGTTTGTTTGGACAGTGCTGAACACAACTTAAAACTTAGCTTCTAAGTTACACATCACTGATTTTGAAATCAAGCTAATATTGATGCTTGGCCCCTGGCAGAACCTTGGCAGAGCTGATTACAGGCGCAGATCTCACGTTTCCGTGTATGCTAGATTGAAGTCATTAATTCTTTTGTAAAAAAAAAAAAAAAAAAAAAAAGCAGTGATGCATAAAATTCCAATCAAAATAATTACAGTGCTGTCACATGGTTTATATACATATGTAAAGTCTTAAATAGCAAGCCACAGAACATTTATTATGCTGCAAGAAGTGTGAAATATTATAAGTGTTCACTTTCAGTCATGACCACTTGCCACCTTAGTAGCTGTGTAATGCAATGGAGGTTACTTACAAGAGTTTTTATTAGATTAGCCCTTTGTCACAAGTAAAGCAACCCCTTTTCACCTAGGTTGATAATTTTTTGATAAATAGTTTCTTTCCAAAGTGTAGATAGCCTGTAAAGTAGCTATTGCACTTTACTGAAAAAAAAAGTAAAGAATAAATAAGAGTGTGGCATTGCTTTCTAATAATGGTTGTGGAAAACGGTAAGATAAAAGGGTTGTTCAACTTAAATGCATAGCAAGACAGAGAGATATTACTTCAAGTTCTTTGTGTTATACCAAGAACTTTCCCGCATAATTTTACTCTCCAAACATCACCAAATCCCCAATGCCACAAATAACACAAAAACAAGTGGTATTACTTTCACATACCCTCTTACCAAACCGAGGGCAATATTCTCTACCATACAACACCAGATATTCATGGTTGTAGTTTTTGCTCTGTGAACAACAGTGATCCTGTCGAATAATCAAAATCCAGATGAGCCGACACGACTACACACTCTGTGGTAGCAGAAGTGGAATAGATCAAGCAGTGCCTACGTGCTGCACCCCACTGCCTGCTCGTTGCAGAGAAAGCTTCAGGGATGAGGGGACAGCCAGAACAATTTGTGTAGCCTGCTTAAGCACCATGGGTTTATCACACCTAGACTCCAGCTTTCTGAACAGAACGCCCAGGGGAGCCACTGATGTATATTGTCATTTTAAACTGCACACCAGCCTTCATAAACACAACAATACTTTTTTAGCTGCCACGGTTATAATCAAAACCTACGGAGAATTACAGGTGCATACCCGGAGAACATTTCCCACCTCCATATAATGTAATATAGATCTACCAAATTAGAGAAAGAATTCTGGATGCTGCATAACAGAGTTAAAGACTCTGATTAGTCACTCACCAAGTAATAATTTATGTGGAAGATATGTGGTACTGCAAGTGTTTTTTTATCTAGCAGACAAATATGTATCAGAAATACAAGGGCTAAAGGCTGCAGGGAAACCAGAACGCAAAACAAAGGCAAACCTATATTCCTCTGCAATATTACCATGGTTATAGAATAATGGCAAATATAACTGAGTTTGAATTCATAGTGTTAACATTTATATTTACCACTGCAGACACTTTAAATCAAGATCGATGAATTTCAAGAATAGAGAAAAGTAAGTTCTAGTTCAGTCAGAAATCATTGGTCTAAAATGAAGGACTAGTCAGATGAAATTTATGGCCTGCAATACTTAAGACATGAGAGCAGGTTATTAAAATGGCCCTTCCTGGTTGTAATATTTATAGATCTGTGAAAAATGCCATTCTGTCATCTCCTGTATCTTCTTGTAAAAGAACAGTATCATCAAATCTTTCAGAAAGGGGCCCTCATTTAAACCAGAAGTCATTGGCCATTTTCTGCAATCAGCAGAACTCAAAGATACACAAAACTGCTGGCAGACAGACAGAGGTGTGATTTATAATGTAGGTAATATTAGGCAAAGCAAAGCATAAGGCACAATAAAATAAATAATATTACAAATATTCACTGTTAAATGAAATAAAGGGTTATAAAGAGGTTCATTTATCTCCACATTAGTTAGTGTCACATTTGTATGCAGAATTTTATGAAAAGCTGGATTACTTTGCAATTCCTACTTCAGACATATCTGCATATAAGAAAAAGCATATTTTGCTATATGGGTTCATTTCAATATCAGTATTTTTGTGGCAGTCAAGGAATATTCTTCTCATTGCTGTAAAATTTTGCTCCATCTCCTTTTCATCTTTTATGAAAATTTATTACAAAAGTAATAACGTGCTTTAAAGTTTTAAGATCAAATTCTTCATAAATACAGATAGAAGCAATCTTTCTAGCTCGAGATCTTGTGCCAAACCTTTAC